AGTTGCAATTTCGAAATGGGGTTTCACCTTGGAGTTGTGGTCACAAAGTAGGACTTCAAGTCAGGGTTTCTGGTTCAAGACTGGGTTTTGACTTTCAACAAAGGTTAAGATTATGTATTCAAGCCAAGGTTAGAGTTTTAAAATAAGGTTTCAATGCAGTGCTGCGATTCAATTTTGGGTTCCGAGCTAAGGCTAGGGTTTCAAAGTAAGGTTTCACGTATTAGTTAGGTTTGTGAATTAAGGTTTCAAAACATCTGCAGGGTTGGGGAATCAATTAGTCGCCTGACTGAAGAGAAAACGAAAGCTTCGATCAAAGTCTAACATGAGTACGTCTCTCCCCTCCTCTCCCTTCTCTCTCCAGGCGACCATCTGTCCAGTCCTCAGGTTCCACCTCCCCTGCCGCCAGCACCACCGCCGCCTCCCCACAAGCAGCACCCCTCCATCACATCCCTGAGCCGCGGCTCGCTGGCCAATCACAGGGCCGCGAGCCCGCCGCCCGCCGCCGGCCTGGCGGCCGATTTGCAGAGCACGGCGGAATGCGTCCAGCTGCAGGACAGCTGGGTGCTGGGCAGCAATGTGGCCCTGGAGAGCCGGTAAGTGAAGCACCATGCTTCCCAGCATGCATTGCTGTGGCGCTCGCTCGGTTGCCGTGGTTACCCTAATATCCCGCCGTGTGTTCGGATAACATGTCCTGTAGTGATAATCTGTGGACGAGCAGCAGTGCTGTCCTATTAATTATTCTGTTAGCTTGACAATTACACTCAGCAGGACTTTGGACGAAGCAGCCTTATTTGCATATTTGCAAAGTAGCATTTTATATTCGGGTTTCAGGCTTGCGTTAGGGCACCTGTGTCAAACTCAAGGCCCGGGGGCCAGATTTGGCCCGCCACGTCATTTTATGCGGCCCGCGAAAGCAGCTCAAACATCTCAATGTCCATGATCCTTTCTAAAATGTCTACCAAGTTTTTAAACTCTCATTTGTAATAAATAAGAGATATATTCTAAACATTTTCTTGTTACCAAACCCCTCATGATAGGAACTTAAAGAATAGTTGAATCAACAATTATTCTTGACTTCGTTGTATGGTTTCAGTTATAACAGCCCTCCGAGTGAAATGGTCACTAAAATGTGGCCCGCACCAAAACTGAGTTTGACCCCCTGGGTTAGGGCTTCAAGATAAGGTTTCAAAACAGGGTTGCAAAGTGTTCGAGTTTCACATTCGGTTATCAAGCTAAGGCTATGGTGTCAAGTTAAAGCCTGTTGATGTTGCATTTAGCAGGGCCCCGACAACCCAAGTCATTACGAGGGCACAGCCTCGCGATGACATCAGACGGTGCATCCAATAGGAGAGGTGTTGGCGGAGGGATTTAAAAATACAAACAGCAATAGACTAAAGAGCAAGATAGGATCTGTGCCACTTCCTGGGAGGCCGTGAAGCAACCACTTCTAAATTTGGGCAAGCTTGCCCTCGAGCACAGTTGCCCATGTGCCACGTTGAACACCAAGAAAAGGCCTTTGAGCTATCAAATTGCGGTTTTAATTATGAGTTTGACTTTCAAAGTAAGATTCAAAGAATGTGTCAGGGTTCCAAACTTGGTTAAAGGTCTCAAATTAGGGTTTAGAGGTTAAGGTTTCAAATAATGACCATTATTCAACTTCTAATAAGCGTTTGAAACCAGGATTTCAGAATCATGGTGTAAACCAAGGGTAGGGAATGGTTGGTTCATCGAGAGCCATATCCTGCCTGTTTTAGATCCCTCCCTACTCCAACACACCTGATTCAATTGTTCATCATCGTTTCAGGCCTCTACAGAACTTGCTGATGAGCTGATCATTGTTTTGTGGATTGTTTCGCCTTTCACTAATGTAAACGCATTGGTTGATAATTGTAGATCTTTGACGTATTTCTCCTGTGTAAAACGAGTTATCGTTGCAGTTGATTCAGAATAGCTCATAGACGGCGGTGAGTGTACTCCAAACACTTGACCCATGGAAGACTTTCATCTTTTTACCACACTTACACATCCCTTTTTGCATTTTGTTGGGACAAGAGAACTTTATGAATGCAAGAAAATTCATGTGTTTGGAGTTTTCTTTACTGGTTCGCTGGCTGTTGAGCTGCACATAGTCACATGTTGAGAGGACAGCACACAAGCGTTGAGCTTTTAAAAGAGAGCTTCAAGTGAATCTTTCAAGTGGCTTTTAAGACCGGGTGAACATTTTGAATATAGGTCAGGGTTTTAAAATAGGGATTGAAGCCATAGCTAAGGCTTCAACATGTGATGTGGTTGTTGATTGCATCAAATCATGTTCACACCTGGGTGACACCCTGGCAGAATTGGCTTTTAACAAGTTCTCTCGTCTTGCGCCTGACTCAGTGTGATTCACACCAGCCTCCGTTTCACCGTCGACATGGAAGAGCTTTTTTCTCAGGAGAATTCAGTAGGACTTGGTGCAAATTGTCAACACAAATGGTGTTGCCCTTGATCAGCCCGGGAACAATCATGGAGACCTCACGGTTAGGTGGCTAAAACTGTGCCATCTTTCGAGGCGCATTTATCAAACGAGGGATTACAGTTAGGAATTGCAAATTGGGGTTCTGCACTTAAGATAGCATTTCAAATCAAGGTTTGAAAAAAGATTCGGGGTTTCAAATAAGAGAATGAGTTTCAAATCGAAATTTCAAGACTGGGTCAGGATTTCAAAGTCAGGTTTCAAGACCAGATTTGAGGTTTCCTTTTGAATCAGGGTTAGGTTTTTGCCTTTGAGTCAAAGTTTCAGGATCTAATCCAGAGTTAGAATTTAAAAGTTATGGTTTCAGGTCCGGTTAGGGTTTTAAAGCACCGGTGATGCCTGGATTGGGATTTTAATCTAGGATTAAAAGCACGGATTTGTGTTTTGTGTTTAAAATGCTTCATGAATTAAATTGGATTGCATTTTGAATCAGGGTTTCACGATAGGGGTAAAATTTCAAGTTTGGGTTTCAACACAGGATTAAGGTTTTAAAGCAGAGTTGCAAGCCTGTTTTAGGATTTCAAACTGGGTTTAGGACTGCAAATAAAGGCTTCAGGTCAGGGATTGGGTTTTAAAGACCCCTACGTTACGGTTTAAAGTCAGGGTTTCAAGCCTGAGTTTGGTTTTGAAAGTAGGGTTTCAAGCCCAGTTTATACATTGTGGTAAAATTTATAGCATGGCACCCTGCGGAGTTCACTTTTAACAAGCTCTCTTATCTGACACTCTTGATTTGTGCAATGAACGAGATCCAGTCACGGCAAGTCAAAATGGAGGCCTCACTGTAAGGCAGTCGAAGCACACAACATTTATCAGGCCGGCGACGCCGTTTGCGATACATTTGTGACACAATAACAGCGTGATAGAGTATGAGCCGTAAAGCAGACACTTTAATTCTTCAAGTCCTGCCGTGAAGCATCATTTTATTCACTGCGCTGCTCTCTTTCTTAGCTTTTTTACGAGCGCCGCTAAAATGTCATTGTTTACTTTTTATTTTTCTCAATTTCCCGTTGCTTTCCGAACGGGGTGGCAGTTGGTCCCACATGTCTCCGTCAACTATGTGCTGCACAGTATGTGCTCTGGTGGCATTTTAGTGGAAAAGTGTACTCCCCAAAAATGTTTTCCTTCATCCTTAAACTACTGCAAGTCTACCAAAGTAAGATTTATAGCCAGGTTTAAGATTTCAACTCATGATTTCATGCTACGGGGAGGGCCTGAAATTAGGAATTCAAATTAGGGTTTCAAACCCACTGTTAAGGTTTAAAGTCAGGTTTCAAAATAATGCTTTCAAACAGTGGTCCGGGTTTCAAGCCGAGGTATTTGTTTCAAATTAGTTTTCAAATGAGGGTTTAAACCCTTGTTTAGTGTTTCAAAGTAGGATTTCAAATTGCGATCCGAGGAAGGCTTTAAAATCACTGCTATGGTTTGAAGTAAGGGTTTGAAATGTGTGCTTCAAACAAGGGATATGATTTTAAAGTAGAAACTAAGGGTTATGTTTGGACAAGAGTTTGAAATTAGGATTTTTAGCCAGGGTTATGTTTTCAACAAGGGTTAGAGCCTCAAAATGGGGCTTTAAGACAGGGGTAGATCTTCAAATCAAGGTTTCAGTTGATGGTTGCGGTCTCACTATTATAAGCCGGTGTTAGAGTTTCAAAGTATTGGGTTAGGGTTTCATAATACGTTTTCAAACCGGGGTAATGATTCCAGTGTAGGGTTTTAAATCTTGGTTCGGGGTCATTGGAATTACCACTTCCTTTGCAGTAGGGTAAAGAGTGCAAACGTAGCTTGATCACAGTGAGATTTCGGTCTCTCATTGATTGGTTCAATAATGTTGAGCTGATTGCTTGTGTGTCCAATTAGCACATTTAGACTAACACTTCATTCAGCACTGCAAAGTGCTTTTTGCAACTTGAGCTTTTTGTTGATGTGGTCTGGGAGATCTTCCCCTTCGGACCCCAATGGGGTCGTCAGCCAATCATTGTGGACTTGATTGATGGGGTAGTACTGCAAGTGTGCGTATACCACTTCATGGATGAAGTGGAATGTTGCTATAGGACTTGAAACCCGACCCATAGTACTTTGAAATGTAGCTTTGGTTTGAAACCCTACTATGAGATACTCACCCCGGTCTTAGACCCTACTTGAAACCCAAAACCTGACTTCATTAAAAAAAAAAAAAAAAAACACTAAACCCAGTCATTATACCCTAACTCTTGTTACAACCCAAGCCCAAACTTGAAAACCTAATTATAAAACTTAACTCTTATCCAATCTTGAAGCCCTAACATAAGAACCCTAATTTGAAACCATATCCCCTGTTGAAACCCTATTGAAAATCCAAACTTGAATCCCTAACCCTGGCTTCAAACCTTAATTTCAAACCCTACATCTTTTCATCAAACTCCAACCCATGTCTGAAATTCTGACCCTGGATTGAAACCCTAACTCTTGTTTGAAAGACTCACATTGGCTTCTAACCATAATATGAAACCCTTCCCCATGCTTGAAAACCTACATTGAAAGCCACACTGGCACCCTAAACCTGTCTTGAGAACCCAATTGGAAGACCTGATTCTTGGCTTGAAACCAGTGGCATTGGTAAATATTTTTCACTCCCAGACGGGGACGAAATCAGACAGCACAGATGGACAAAACAAATATTTTCCTCAGATTTCCATGATTTCAAGATAATTTTATTTAATGATTGTTTTTCTTCAATTTGTATCTATGTTATTCACGCCCTCAGGATGAGCGGTGCGGGTCCCGTCCGAGCTGACAACCGCTGCACTAGGTTGTCTCCCACAAGTCCGGACTTACTTGACTTATTGTAGCATCAAACCCGCACTCGCCTTCATCTCATTTTAACTCTCTGCAATGGAAACCAGAAGCAATCAGGCACACACCAAAAGAGTCACAAGATGCTCCCGACTTTACAAGCATGAACCTTGTTGTACTTGTCTCAGCCTGTCCTTCCTCCTTCAACCGGCGGGCCAATCCACTTTATCTGTACTTGTTATCTGTCCCCCCTCACACTCCTCGCGCTGCTGAATAAAAGGTGATGGCCTCACCTGCAGCCTTTGG